TGCCTCCGAAATTAATCTCATAGAAATCAAGTATAGAACCATGGAATTTATTACAAGATGAAGGTGAAACATTTTCAAGTGACAACCATAAGTATATATTATAGAAAGTATACGTAGTATTNGTGGATATTTGGGCATTTAACGGTATAGATTTTAAGAGGGCAATGTCGATGACGTCGGGGCGTCCTACGGGTCCGTAATGTGTCGGTTCTGTCAGTCCGAGTATCGTCAAGTCGTCGTGTCGAATAATTTTTGCATATTCGACACCATGGTCGTCAGCTGGATGCAGAAGTCCTGAAGACGCTCTGTTACGTCAATCAGGGCCGCCGCGGGTTACCTTCAGGATGTCCTCCTGGTCCTGTGGGGCCTGAACTAGGGCCAGGGGCATTTCTTGTTTATTTTGACGGCTCGCCATGCGGTGCACTATTGCGCCGGGGAACTCTTGTCGTGCGAGGTCGAGTTGGACCTCACTTGGCGAAACACCCGCAGGTATTCCGCGTATCACCACCCTCAGCGTTTTTTCTTCGCTGAGGGTGAAGGTGTGGTACTCCTCGCCTTTGTCTGTCAGTGTCTTTGTCAATAGTCTGTGGTCTTTAGGTGTGTTTGGGTATATGGCTATACCGTCTTTAGTGAGTTTGGCTTTTGTGTAGTTAATGTTAAGTGTCGTGAGTATTTTTTGTACTTGCAGTCCACCGTTCTTGCTTTCGCAAGATTACCGGGGGGACTTGTTTGGTTTTGTCTGTCTGTTTTTGTGTGTTTTGTGGGGTGTTTTGTAGGGCGCTTGTGGAGGGTTTAGGTGTCGGGGGGCGCGTGTTTGGTGTTTGTGGTCGTGTTTTGTTTGTTTTGTCTGATTTTTTATGTCTGGGGGCTTTGTCCTCGCTAGAGGCTTCCGCCATGTGTTTTTTGCGTTTCTCTGTGCGTGTGTGCGGGGTGTCTGTGTGTGGGTGTGTGTGTATGCGCCTGTCTGGGGTATATTGTCTGTCATTTGTTTGTTGATGAGTTTGTCGAGTTTTTGGTGTAATTTGGTGGTGTTTTCGTTCGAAAGTATAATTGTTTTTTGCAAATCGAAGATTTGATGTATCATGGTTAGTATTTGTTGGTATTGTCGAGTGTTTTGTTCTGTGAGTTCGTGTATTTGTTGTTTTAGCGTCTCGTTTTCATGTTTTTGTGTTAGTAGCTGTTCGTATAAATCTGTT